TTGTCGTGACAGGGCTCGGCGCCATCTCGCCCTTCGGTGTCGGCGTGCGCAATACATGGAACCGGCTGCTGGCTGGAGAGTCCGCCATCACCAGCGTCGCCAACTTCGAGCCACAGAAGCATTGGAAGGATCTGACAAGCACGGTTGCTGGTGTAGTCCCCAGCCATGGCACAGGTCCAGAACAGTGGCGACCGTCCGACTGGCTCAACGCCACGGAACAACGTCGCATGTCCAAGTTTGCCCAATATGCCGTGGCCTGTGCGGATATGGCCATGAAGGATGCCGCATGGAAGCCGGAAAGCCAAGACGACCTGGAAGCGACGGGAGTTTGTCTGGGCAGTGGTATCGGCAATCTGGAAGAGATTTACGAGACGAGCTTGGCATTCAACCAACAAGTGAGGATTTGAGCCGCAGTGATCGACGAGCGAAGCCAAGCTAAAGTCTGTTCGGATAGGGCTACAAGAAGGTTTCGCCGCTGTTCGTCCCCAAAATTCTCATCAACCTGGCCGCTGGCCATGTCTCCATGAAATACGGCCTGCAAGGCCCTAACCATGCCGTTACAACCGCCTGCACAACCGGCGCGCATTCCATTGGCGACGCGATGCGATTCATTGCTTTTGGCGATGCCGACGTCATGGTTGCTGGCGGAACAGAGTCCTGCATCCATCCCTTGACATTTGCAGGTTTCGGGAGGGCAAGGTCCCTCTCCACGGCCTACAACCACAACCCCCACGCCAGCTGTCGTCCCTTCGACCGCGACCGTAATGGTTTCGTCGTCTCGGAGGGTGCGGCAGTTCTGGTCCTGGAGGAACTCGAGCACGCCAGGGCCCGGGGTGCGCACATCTACGCGGAGGTCAGGGGCTACGGCTGCAGCGGCGACGCAAATCACATGACGGCTCCGCGAGACGACGGCCACGGCGCTTTCCGCGCCATGAAGGCTGCCCTGAAGAACGCGGGCATCCCACCGGCCGATGTGAGCTACGTTAATGCCCATGCAACGGCGACACAGGTGGGTGATGTCGCAGAAGCTTCCGCAATTCGAAGCATCATGACGGGTGTGGAAGGCCACGCGGACGAGTCGCAGATAACCGTGAGCAGCACCAAGGGCGCAGTTGGGCATCTACTGGGGGCGGCTGGCGCGATCGAAGCCATGTTTGCCGTGCTATCAGTGGCTGAGGTGAGTATAGGTCGCGGCTATTTTTTCTGAAACCGAAACTTTATCTTCCCCAGACTTTGGCCCAATGAACACCACTGACTCTATCAAAGGATGTTGTGCCGCCTACTCTGAATCTCGAAAACTCAGATGTCGGGGGATCCATGAATCTGGTACCCCTCAAAGCACAAGCGAAACAGGTTAACGTTGCCATGTCCAATAGCTTTGGCTTCGGCGGCACGAATGCCTCGTTGGTTTTTTCCAAAGTCCGATAAGGACGGTTCGTCGACCGGGAAAGAACGAAGCATGTTGCGACGAAGGCGCCCGTCTCGTCGCAGCATCTCATCAGTCTGGCTCAGACTTTGCGAATAGACATATACGAGATGGGCCGAAGCTTGTCGTCGTCATCACCTCTGTGCAACTGGATACACCACGTGTGTGAGATAGAATTGCCGATAACCGCAATGGGAGGCGCGAATGGCGCCAACTATATTTGTCGAACTCACCTCAAGACGGGAAGCTTGAGGCTGGAGATACCCGCCGGTCAGTTGTCAAATTTCGGAGTCCGTCTCCAGAATTTGAAGTTTCTGGTCTGAACACGCGATCAGTCGACTTGGCTATTCCTGGTCATCAATAGAACTCTGCCATTGTTCATGCAAGGGATGAGACTTCCCTAATAAAAGGTGTAATAAGGATAGTTAACGATATCGAGATACCTTACAGTCACCGTGCGAAGTGCACATCGCACCGTGAACAGGTAGATGACCCGAAGTTCCGCCGATCTGGCACATGCGCGCTAGCTCGAAATTTCCAATTCGATGTGTTCATGAATTTTTTGGATGACGTTCAGACTTTGAGCCTCGCGAAGCCGGGCCCGAGCTGACCCAAGAAAAAGGCCCGCCCCAATTCGTCGATACCCTCCCCTGCAACATCGAATCTCATGCGCAGCTGAAATTCAATTCGAACAACCTCGCAACATGGCCTGCCAGAGCTGCCGTTATCAAGCCCGGCTCCTAGCCCGGAGTCTACGAGCCACCGCAGAACTTTCAAGTGCATCTTCGACCCAGAACGCCCTCGCCCGCCGTGCGATAGCCTCTTCTGCCCCGGCAACCCAAACTACGAGTTCGACAGCGGCGAGCGGAACGAGACATTTCAGTCAATCTGTGCCCAGGAAAGATGTTAAAGGCGCAAGCTTCAAGCAGGCGATCCGCGCGGGCATGCTCGCCGCGGCACCCAAGACGATGGCGGCTTCCTTGACGACGAACCGTCTCGAGGCGCTGTACGGTGCCTGCGCCAAGCCTGCCCTGTACAAGATTTCCGAGCAAGACCGCCACAACGAGACGGTGAGGATGACGGAGGACGGCGAGGAAGTCGGCGAGGCTCAGGGTCCCTGGCTCGAAGGTAGGCATTATACCCCGCCATAAGATATCCCAAGATGCTAACATGATTGCCCACCACAAACAGCCCTCGACCTCCAGCCTTCATTCTCCTCCTGGTCCCAGACCACTATGCTGCACATGTACATCGTCCTAGCCCGCCTCCGCTGCCTCGACCGCGATGCAGCCCAGGCCCTGCAGCACCAGTTCATCGACCAGTTCTTCTTCGACTGCGAGCGCATGATGCACCTCAACCACGGCATGACGTCGTCCGCGCTGCGCCAGCGCTACCTCAAGGAGATATTCGTGCAATGGCGCGGCCTTATCGCCGCCTACGACGAGGGCATCGTCAAGGACGACCGCGTCCTCGGCGCCGCCGTCTGGCGCAACCTGTTCAAGTCCCGCGAGGACGCCGACATGCGCCAGGTCGCCGCCGTCGTCGCGTGGATCCGCGCCAGCCTGCGCGACCTCGAGGCCGGCGCCGTGGAGGACTTGCTGGTGGACCCGCGGACGGTGTTCAGACGGGACCTGAAGGACATGTTCAAGCTCGTGGACGCGTTTGCGCCGGAGCTGAAGGGGGAGTTTGGGACGCTGGGCGCGAAGGGGGAGGAGCTGCCGCCGCCTGAGCCGGTTGCGGAGAGGCAGGGCGCCGTGTACGAGGAGGTTGAGTCATTAAAGGAGGCTGCTGCCAAGGTTTTGTAAAGAGCTGGAATGCGCTTCTTTTTTGTACCATCATGGCAATACGCTTGTAATTCTGTACAACCACCGGCATACTAGAGGCGTCACCATGGATGATGATGCTCACGACCCAAACAAGGGCCGTAACAGTAGACATGTCTGAGTCTCCATTGGAGACCAAACAAGGAATGAAAAAACACTCATCTTATGCCTTCTCCCACATCTGGAACTCATATCGCGTGCCGTTCTCCTCAATCTCGCCCCCTTCAACCTCCTCGCCAACCCACTCGTTCAGCTCCCGCTTCTCCCTCCTCTTCCACCCCTCCGCCGCGTCCTCGCCGCCAAGCTTGAGCGGGAAGAACGCATCGCACCCAAAGTCGCCCAGCACCCTCGTCAGGAGCACCCGCTTCGCCTCGGGCAGCTCCAGCGCGGCGCCGTAGATCTGCGCGCCGCCGATGACGAAGACCTTGCTGCTGACCTCCTCACCGGGCCGGCTGCGCACGAAGGCGAGGGCCTGCTCGAGCGAGCCGACCTTGACGGGCTCCTTGTCGTAGTCCGCCGGGGTCGCGGCGGAGGAGTCGAAGGGAGGGTGGGAGCGGGAGATGACAATGTTGAGGCGGCCCTTGAGAGGGCGGAAGCGCGGGGGGATGCTGTCCCATGTTTTGCGGCCCATGATCACTGCATTCTTTGCGCCGGAGGGGGCCTGGTGATGTGTGTTAGTCTGGGTGCATTTGTGGTGTGTTGTGTTGGGTTGCCGTCGGTTGAGTGAGGAATGAGGGCGGAAGAAGGTTACCTGAGCTGGAAGCCTCTTGGTCACGCGCGCAAAGTAGGCCATCTCCTTTTTCAAACCCGTCCAGGGGAGGCCCCCTTTGGCTCCGATGCCCATGTTGCGCGTCGCCGCGACGATGAGTGTGAGTTCGTGGCTCATTTTTGACGACGTTGTGTGTTTGCGCTATGCTCCGCTTTCCAGATGGCAGGTTTGGTCAAACTCAGTTTTAAGACAGTTGCTAAATAGCTAGCTAGGTGTTGGGTTATTGGGCTGGCTTGCTTGTACTGAATGTTCACTGAGAAAGCAGGATGAACGACGAATTGCGGTTCATTCTAGGTTTTGCGGGACGAGGTGAGGACGAAAATGGCTTGCACAAGGCGGGCGATTGGTGGGTTTGGTCCCCCAACGAACCATCGAATCAGACTACACCTCCGAGACAAACCGCGATGACAACGGTCAAGACAACAAATTTGATCATTTATCAGGACCTGGGAAACAAGTGTAGCATCTATTCGTGATATTTCCTAGAAACTTTTTTCAAGTTCAGATTTATCGTCGCTGAGCGATAGAAGAAATTGGGGGACTCGCCTCAGAAAGAAAAGAAAGAAAGGGGAAAAAAGTTCAAATGTCAAAAGAATTCATTTGAACCCTTAAACCCCACCGATCAGATATGGACACTAGGGCGCTGCGATTGCGCTGACCTGACCGCTGGGCCACTTTGCTCTTCTCGCCGGTTGACAACAAAGCAGCAGAAGCAAGAACATATAGGCTGTCGCCTGAGATGAGAGCTATCGCCCCCGCCGTCTTTAGCCATGTCAGTCTGAACAGGGTCATGTATCACCCCGAATCCCACGCTCAGGTGATGAAGCCTCGAATAAATTTATATGGTATATAATAATGTGATTTCTCATCACGATTCCACTTTGCGCCACTGCCAAGAACTCCATTCGACGTCCCGTCATGAGTTATGAAGCCACCTTACTAATATTAGGAAATTCAGGTCGTGTTCATCCTCTCCCCGATCTCATCGCAGTTCCACCGAAGGGAAATACCGAGGCCCCGCGAAGCCCTTTGCGAGAACCGCTTGTATATCAATGTTGCTTCCAGATGCACGGCTGCTGCTCCACATCTTGAGGAGAATGAACCGCCCCGAGACTGGGGGGTCAAACCGTATGGTACACTTGCTCTTGTCCTTCTCGATGAAGAACTTGGCGTGCGGCGCCATTAATTCACCGCCCACAGCTCGGACAGCTTCTTGGGTGGCCATCTGAGTGGCCTCAACAGCCTCTGCCAGAGACATATCCGACGGGTCTCGGCGTCTGTTGTTGAAAGAATAATCTTCAAAATCATACCTGTCCGACGCGAACGGGTTCCCATCATCGCTACTATCGCTTTCGAACGGCAGCGATCCGATTCTATTCGGTGCTCGCCTACTGACCGAGATTCTTGGTGTATCTTCGTCATCCGTCTCCTCGTAGCTGCACTCGGTTGTGATGTTGAAAGGTGGCAGCTGACTTGTGAACTCTGCGGGTATTTGTGCCGTCCGCTGCTCGTTTTCGTCATCTTCCCCGTCCATACTGTACATCCGTCTCTGCCGAGTGTGTGTCCTGGTCACGGTAGTTCCGTCCTCATGGTGCCGAATAGAGATGATTGGGGCCAGCGGTCTTGTGGACGATGATCGGCCTGATCTCAATGAAGCATATTGAATCTCATATTGTGCCGTTCGCGTCAAGACCTCATCCTGGTGCATGGATACGAATACCATGCCCTCTCGTACACTACGAAAGCGTCAGTCACAATCTGTGGCTCTGCGCAAGGCCGACTTACGGCGAGGAGTAATTCAAAGCCGGAGCCTTGATCACGAGCTCTTTCAAACTGAACGGCGTCGCACCCTGGTGCTTCAGTATGATATTGCAACGATTAGACTGCGTGCAATAGACGGTCTTGTCGTCTCTTAGTATGTTGTCGTAAGCATATGAAGACCCGTTTTCGAATAGTCCTCCGTCGCAGCTCAGGATTTCCATCTTCAGCTGGCCTGGCTCGACCTGGCCGTATCTTCCATATCGAAAACCCTTGAAACTCTGCGAGGCTCTTTCAGAATCCAGCTTCCTCCTCTTGACACGTCGGTTCTCCTCGGGGTACTCCTCCGACTGCGGAAGTGGTGACAGATTTGGTGGGGATAGATTTGGAGGCATCCTGGGCGGAGAAAAGGGTGATGAGCTGTACTGAGCTCTCTGGTTCCACAATGCTCTAACCGCCTCCAAATCGTCTTCAGCGCCGACGTCGTGTCGCTGTCGGCCGTTCAAGGATCGGATAGTTCGGTAGCCAAAAACTGGGGGCAGTTGTGTGGCCGGGCGCCGGGAGTCGTCCTCTGGTCTTTGGTCGTTCTGTAGGGTCTCCAACAAGCCAGTCGCTTGATTACGATTCCGTGAGCGCTCCAAGACAGGATCTGACGCCGATGAAATGAAAGCAGTCAGATCACTCAGGGTGTTGCCCACGAAGTTCCCCAGAAGTTCGTCGTATTCCGCCTGGAAGTGCCTGTCTGCCATCTGTCGTCGTGCAGCTCGGACGATGTCTCCCGTGTCGTCTGTGTCGTACGGATCTTCCTGATCTCCGTGGGATGCGTAAGGTTCAGCTCCCCAGAGACGGTGCCGAGGGGGAAGCGGGGGACGAGGGCCGCGGTTCGAAGGCAAGGGCGGTAGCGGGGGGAGTCTGCGATATGGCGGTAGGGGCGGAAAGTCTTGATCTCGCCGTTGAGGGTTCTGACTCGGGTCTGGCCGCTGTGACGACATGCTTCGTCAGAGGACGATTTTGAGGGTCCAGCGACGCAGACACCAGAAGACAGGAGCGGCTCGCAAAGCTCGTCGGTCCTCAGTGTCAGGTGGCCAGAGGTCGTAGGAGGGTTGGCGGTTCCGAATCGACGTAAGAAATGTGGGTTCGACGGGCGGTGGCTTCGAGGGAAGCTGACGGTGCTGAGGTCGTGGTCAACTGCACATCAAGCTGCACAAAACCAGTCAAAGAATGCATGCACCTGAAGAACTGATTAGGTGACCAGGCGAACACATCGGAAGCTGTGCAGGAGAGGAGCCGGCAGTTCGAGTCTGCAGGCTGCCGAAGATAGGGCTCGAAGACGAGGGCGGAACCTCCTCCACTGGGGGGGGGGTTGCACTCACACACGAAGCGTTTGCAGGCGGGGGGCCGATCGGTGAAGGCTACCATTAATCGTCGCAAACGAGGAACGAGATGCTGATGGGTTCGAAATGCTCTAAGAGGTATGGAAGCGATATTTTCGAGAAAACCAGAGGATCCTGGCGCGAGTGGCCGTCGCAGCAGCTCGGCGTGTCGTCAGCAGGGCAGTAAAGGGCGGAAGTTGGTTGGTTGATGGTTGAAGTTGGACGGCTACTCGAAAGTCCAATCCAGCAGGAGGGAGGCAAGCAAACGAACAGTGTCAGTGGTGGGATCGCCCTGATGCACCCGCTAAAGTAAGCCCCTGGCCCTGTCCATCGCGGGGTTCCGTGCCTGTAAGAACTGCCCGTGATGCAGGGAAGGAGGCAGCGCCGATAATTGATAGCAGCTACTTCTGATTTGCACGCATTCGTGCTGGAGAGTAAGGTATCAATTAAGCGTGGCTTTAGCGCGTTATCCGTGCCAGTCCGGGGCCTGCGTTGGACGTGCCTTGCGCCTTGGTCGTCACGTTAACAATTTCTGTTTGCTGGCGTCTCTGTCTCTGCCTCTCTCTCTCTTAGTGAACCTCTCCGGCCTTCAGCCTTGCTTTGCTTCATGAGCTGAGGCCTTATATCAACATCAACTCTTCAGCCGGCGACGTCATTTTAGCGACTTGATCTGCTCACTTGCGATTGCAGCAAAAGCTGCCTCCGACCCGAACACTGCGACCCTCGTAAACCCTCGCCTACGCCCAGCTCGCTCGATCCGGTTTCACTTTCCTCTTACCGATTCGCTGCGTCGCGCATCTCATCAGTCAGTGCCTGGCGCAAACTTATCTCAAGATCCCCCCCGACGAATCGGCCATCAGCTGAACTCGTCCAAACGACGCGACCACCACCGATTGCGCATCCATCGCGCCTTCCTCAGCCCATCTCAATTTCATCTCACTAGATCAGCATGGAGGAGCAATCACAGCCTCAAGATAAGCCCGCCCCAGAGGCTGCTGCACCAGCGGTTGCGCCTGCCGCTGCAGTTGAGACCACCGCAGCACCTCCACAGCCACAGCCTCAACAAGTCTCTATCCCAAGCCATCCCATGCCCGACATGGCTAACGGCTTCAACCCCAACTTGCATGCATCCATGGACCAGGTGCTTCCTGACGCTTTGCAGGAAGTCATGCCAGGAGCTATGCCGGAAATTCTCCCCGGCATGTTGCCTACGGGCGAGATGTTCATGCCTCAGCTTCTGCAGCCAGACGCGCAGCAAATGCTCATGAACAACGGCGCGTTGCCAAGTGTTCCTGCCAACGCGATGACCGCAGGTATGAATCTCTCACTTCTGTCTTTGTACGCCCTTATTGACCCTTTCCAGATGAGATCGCGCTCTACGACCGTCAGATTCGCCTCTGGGGTATGAAGGCCCAGGAGAAGATCCGCAACGCAAACATCCTTCTCATCACCATGAAGGCTCTCGCCAACGAGATCGCCAAGAACCTCGTGCTCGCCGGCATCGGCACCCTCACCATCCTTGACGGTGCCGTCGTCTCTGAGTCAGACCTTGGCTCGCAATTCTTTCTTTCTGAAGAGGAGAACCACGTCGGCCAGAACCGCGCTCACGCTGCTGCTGCCGCTATTCGCAAGCTTAACCCGCGCGTCAATGTCCATGTCGACGCCGAGGGCATCAAGTCCAAGGGAACGAGCTACTTCTCCGCCTTTGACATCGTCATCGCTACCGACCTCGACCCCGACTCCCTGAACATCATCAACACCGCTACCCGTCTGCACCAGAAGTCTTTCTACGCCGCCGGCACCCAAGGCATGTACGGCTTCATCTTCTCCGACCTGATCGAGCACGACTACGTCATTGAGAGAGATCTCGGCAACATGGCAACCAAGCTGCAGCCCGAGACGCGGACCCGCAGCGTTGTTGCCGTGAACACGAAGAAGGAGGGCGGCAAGACTATCGAGGTGGTTACGAAGCGCGAACTCTACTCGACCTGGTACCTGGCTAGTGACGGTGCCACGTTGCCTGAGGAGTACGCCAAGAGCCCGCGTCGCAGGAAAGCCGTCAGCCCCGTCCTCTCCTGCTTGCGAGCTCTCTGGGATTTCCAGGTCCTCAACGGCAGTCGTCTGCCCAATCACAATAAGGAGGATTTGGGACTGTTCACCAAGCTCGCGACGGCCAAGCATGCCCAGCTCGGTCTGCCGTCCGAGACTCTCCGTTCAGAGGTCCTCAGGAGCTTCTTGCAGAACATTGGCAGCGAGATGGCACCCGTCACGGCCATTCTTGGAGGACAGCTTGCCCAGGATGTCATCAACGTTCTCGGCCAGACACAGCAGCCGATTCAGAACATGGTCGTCTTCGATGGTAACAGCATGGAAGCGTCAGTCTACCCGCTGCACCCCGTCGGTGAGCTGGGCAGGGGTCTGCTCTCTCTTGCTGCGCCGAGCGGTCTCATGCCTAACGGAGGCGCTATGGTCCCTGACCCCAGCATGATGATGAACATGGACGGCACGGTGGACTTTGGTAATGCCATCATGACTCAGTAAGCCGTCTATATCGCATTAGATCAACCAAGGTATGATGGCAGCGTAGACTGCCACGCTTGAAAACCTCAAAATACATGGGCCGGGGGTGGTGTGTACAACAATTTGACTGCCAGGAATTGAGTTACAGGATGCTCCATCTCAATACCTTCACCTGGAGAGGGAGAAATGGCTCGGAGATATGTAATATTAGCTACACTGTAATAACCCAAAAAGACGTTGCTCACGCTCAGAGACGGTCGATCGGGTTCACTTGCGGGATGTGATCTTGAACTCTTCTGGTTCCATCTCGCTAAATGCGCTGCCATTTGACATTTCTTTTGATGACCAGCAGTAGTATTGGCAGAGGAAGCATCTTCCAGCAGGTTGATAGGTATTATACACCGCTTGATCAAGGGCCGTGGCTGCCCACTTGGTCCGGCGAGTCGAAGGACCTGCCATAAGATTACGAAGTGGAAAACCGACGAGGAAAGAAACTATCCAGAGCCAGATAGCTCTCATGAGTCTCAAAGAGACTATTTAAAAAAGAAGGATGAAAAAAAAAAAAAAAAGTGTTATACGCTCTGTGCCCATATGGAGCGTCGAACCAGAGCGCCGTGCAGATGTTAACAGAGCCATCTGACCAACGGTTTATTTTTAATGCTGTGATCTACTGACCAGGCCATATGCCAGAAAGATGTCCCAGTAGCTGTTGAGATCCCAAGGTGATTTTTTCCCCAAGTATGTAGACTCACAGTCTAGGCAGGAGGGGCGGGTGCTGCCTGCTTGCTTTCACGTTGCAACTCATCTAGGTAGGCAGCAAAAGGTGTTCGCTGTGAATCACTGCCTTTGTTCCCAGCTTTCAGGGTTCTCTGACCAATCATCTCAGATAAGGTTCCTGCGCAGGGATCGACAGACTGCCGTCAACGCTCCTTCTGAGTGATCAAATCTACTCTCTCCTCACCCACAATGGTCACCATATTCCACCTGCACTTTCCCAACTTTTGCGTGTATGACGCAGTGCCAGCCTACTTTCTGCCGGTCCTTGCCCAACATGTCAACACCTATGCAACTACGTCCTATCTCTGTTCTGTGATTATCCGGAGTCGTCATCACGGCCGTTTCTATTAGGTCGCCCACAGTATTTGCCATATGGTAGATTCTTCTTGTTCATGCCTTATAGGCAATCATGGTCTTGAGTCTGGAAAACTTCGGGAGTCAATGTCTACAAATCCTTCCCCCAATCTGCCGTCTCACGTATCCGTAGACTTTTGCAATATTTATGACCTCACCCCCTTTCCATTGCCAGCACATGCGAAAATCCCCAATCTAAACCTAGCCAGTTTCACCTTTTGCTCAGTCTAGTTTCTTCTCATGACATCAAATAGGGCTGCAGGTAAATCTTTCCATATCCAGACTCTACATCTCTCCTGCTGTGTAGTGACCGCCCCAAGTCCCTCCTATTTCAGGGGCTTTTGCTAGGAGCAGCATCTTGTTCTACTCAAAGCTAAAAGTTTCGGCATCTTCTTAAAATTATTTACGTAGAATAAGTCAGGAGATGGCCAGTCTGTCGGTAGCTCACGTCACGGGACGAGTACTCGGGGCGTCATCCTGGGAAGACTTTGAACGTCTGCCATCTCATGAACCAACCTAGTTTGCTGACGCCAGGCCATGCAAGCACAATTTCGTTGCAGGAATGAGTGCCGATAAATATTTCATCTCTCTTATGTTCACAAAGCAGTAAGTGTGGCCGCATGAACGGATTGTTGACTGTTAACCTAGTCAGCACTCCATCTGGACGACGTTATAAGACGGCATTTTCTGTCTTTGGAGATCAGAAGCGGTACGCACGTCATATCTTGCCTTCTTGTGCTTTCTATTGCCCAGCCATCGAATAACAGAGACGAGTGTGGTGGAATGTTATTTGGAATCAGACAAGATTGTTGGCATGGAGCAAATATCCAAGAGGCATTCCTAGTATAGTAATCAAAGGAAAATACAAACCAACAGAGACGGAGATCACGACTTGATATTTTGAATAAATCTAGTACTCTTATCTAATATCATCAAATGTCCTCGGTCGCAGCATGCCCAAACCTAGGTTGAAGCAAGCGCAACACTATCGCACGTCCCGGCCATTGTCATTTGTTTGGCCAATCCCTCGATGGAAAGCCCTCCTTATTTCATACTAATTTCAAGAATTTCGTGTTATATCTTCAAGTAGCTTTGAGATTACGGTAGCCTCTCGAGACGGCGCTGTAAATAGTGTCGAAACATGGTGGATTGTTTTGGGGTTTCTTTAGACACGAATCGCGTTGCGCATCATTTCGGACATGTAAGCAAAAGCGGTTCATTGGACATGTCCACCCTCTTGT